GTAACGAATAATTTAATTTTATTAATTGGAATGTTAATTATTAATTGGAACGCATTATTTACAGATCTAACTTGGAGATAAAATTAGAAGCCACTATAACGGAATTGAATGAGCTTCGCAAGATTATCGATAACCTTCATCAATCGCCGGAAGATGTCCTGAACAATGTATCCGATCGACGACGTAGCGTTGTGGAGAATTGTCGGATTTTGCTCAAAGAGGTAATAGCCGGCGATGTTGCCGATACATTTTTATAGTGTACTTCTTCCACGCTACTGCCATATTTGAGATAAATTATTAACTTTCGTGAAAGAGATGTCAAATGATTCAATTCCTCTATAGGCGAGTAAGGAGGAATTAAAATTTAACGAGGCCGTACTTGCTACTAATAGCAGTTCTGGCGAAATAGACTGAGGATCTCTCGATGTGGAGCGACTTCCGCTTAATATTTTAAAATATTTATAAATTTCTTATTCTTCCTAATTATTATAAATGATTTTAATTCATAAGAATTTTTAAGAGTCTGAATTATTATATTAAACATCGATGATACGATTTTATTGTTATTTATAAAAATCGGATTTCAAATTTTGAGGTGACTGAATTTTTAAAAGTTTAGACATCATATAGTTTGGAATATTACATATATTTTTCCTTCCATTATAATATATATTTTTGTGCGCTTTATAATGTTAATTTCACACTGAATATAATGGTGTATATGTGTACATGTGTATATTACATCCAGATTACAAAAATCAAATATGAACAAATACGGGCTCGTCGCTGTTTTTAAAATAATTGTACAAAAAAATGATTATTTAAAAAATAAATGACTCTGGTTAAAATTCAATTAATCATAGCTAACTACGCAGCATATAGAAGAATATATCAAAGTATTTAATTTTACTGATTTTACATTGTATTTCTTTCATCAGAATTTGGTAAAATATACTCACGAATAATGATTAATGATTTTGAACATATATTTGTAAATGTATTAGTGTATGCAAAAAATATATGTCTTATATGTCCAAATATATATTTAACATATATTTGAATACGTGATACGCTAGTACACTTTCTGTGAAAATACGAAATTGTAAATCGTTATTCATTATTAGCCAGTATATGTATTTAATATTGATTCCCACCGCCGAGTTGATCATAGAATTTATATTTATATTTAATAAAATAATCCTCCAACGAAATTATTAGGTTTATAAAAGATCAATTTTTTTTTATTACATACTTTTTCATTCGAAGTAAACAGGGTAGCCTATATTTAAGATAACAATATTTAATAGAGAACAAGAGCTAGATACATATAAAACGGAAGGATAGATTTCAGATACCTTTTATTGTGTCTTCGATCATATAATACTTGTATTACCGTAATTACATTGTGTGACATTTAAAAAGATAGTGAAATATTTTATGATAAATCGTAGATATAAAGATGCTTCTTAATAGACAAGAATTAGAAAAAGATATTTGTACTATTATTTTTGTGTATGTGTGTATGGTGTGTGTAATTTATTTCTTTCATCTAAAGATGTATATACGTCAATTATAATAAATCTCAAAGACTTTTTCTCAGTGAAACCAAAGTTGAGATTTATTATAAACGTTTTCCAGACGCGGTTTCTTTTATTAAAACGGAGCTGTGCTTCAACTTAAGCGTAGCTTTAATCATAGGAAATATTGTGATGATACAACCAAACAGCACATATGTATTTTATTGTTTAATCAAATAAATTTTCATATCTTGAAAAATATACAGATGCATATAATTGTATTATATATACATAACTTTACATATAATTAAAGCAGATTATATCATAAATGCATGTAAAAAATTTGCAATTGTCGATACAAAAAATCGTCACTAACAATTACAATTAGTTTATAAGTAAATGAATAGTGATTTATGTACTGTGACGCTAAATCAAAACGGAATTATGGCAAAGCGAATATTGCATTTAACTTGTTTAACATGTAAATACATATGTGGTTACTGAATTACAATCGCCCATTACATTGTACGGATAAGGTAAATGAAATCGCCATTTCTGTAATTTTATATTCATTTAAAAGCCATCTTTTAAGTTACAGAGAAATGAACTCGGGAATAACGTTAATATTAGCGCCTCCCTTTATTAATACTAGACACCATATAAATGCGTGGTACGACATCGATTCGATTGTCAATCAAACACGTTATATTCTACGAGTACTCGTCCATCATCCCTGTAGATGCAGATATCCTATCCCTGTGGAGAGAATAATATATTCTTTTCAAACATCTTATTTTAAATGGTTGTAGTTTAAAATACAGAATACAGCATGTTGTATTAAAAGAAAAGGAAAATACTGTTTTCTTAATATATGCTGTAGACGGAATATTGTGTATTGGAATTGCAAGCATCGAAGAATCGTTTTAGTGCACGCTCGTGCCTTGCACATGACGTATGCGACGTATCAAGGGCGTCAAGAAATTCATCAACCGTACAGCTGGTCTGGAACATAAGAAGAGTATGTCGAGAAAGTATACATAAAATTATTTTTATAATTAAAAGAATGAAAATTACACGTGAATACCAGTTGCAATAAAATCACAATTTTAAGATTGATATAATTAATACTATTATAAGATATAATTAATAAAATTGATTATTAGGGCAGCAATATGAAGTAGATGGATTCTTACTTGTTTAGTGTCTTCGAGATCGCCAAATCGGTTTTGTTGGGAACGCTATCGATGATGGGTTTGTCTAGTTCATTGATGGACTGGATCGTCGGCGGAGTGGATACCTTTTGATTGGAAGTTAATAAATTATGTTCCGAATTGCCAGCGCTGGCGCCGGCCAGGAGCAGTGCCTCGACTGGTGCAAATACGAATACAAGACCGTCCAAGTGAATGCGATAGTTCTCGGTCCCGTTCTGCCGTTGGTCATAGTAATCGATGCCATCGGAGAGCGTGGATGTCGGTGCGGCGAAAGTTACAGCTGTCTCTTGCGGTATCACCGATATGATTTCATCCTTGATTTCAGACTCGATCTTGGAATCAGTCTCGGACTCAGTCGACTTGTCGATGACGGGTAAACACTGAACTCTTGCGAAGAACGCGATGAGTAATACAGTCTTGAATACACGCATATTGATTGATAACATTGATGGATGGCTATTTGTCGAGTTGCCTTTCGTTCGAATGCAACTCGTGTACTTATCGGGTTCACCTGTCTACTTGACCTCGGTCTATCTTAAAATCTGTCAAGAAAGTTGCTCTCTACTTGATTCCAGTTCCTAAGTTATTGTTTTCTACTCGATTCTAATTGAAGCCGGTGACTGCAGGATACTTCCTGCTCGGTTGCGATTATAAATTTACAAGTTATTTTCTTACTCAACGGGCGTGAATTCGGGCCGACCACTTTTTTCGACGATTCTTAATGAGATGACGCGGGAACGCGATTGGCCCGGGACCAGTACCGGTATCGCAAGATGGGACGAAAATGGACGAAACGACGTTGGAGAACGTGGAACGTGTCTGGACAACACGGAGGATGCTCGAGGTGTGATGACCGGGCGATGTCTCGTACCAGAAGACGATCCCGATCCCCACCTGGGCGATCCGAACCTGAGCCTTCCTTCGGTCGGTTCTAGAAACGGATCCCCGGAAAAGTTCAAGAACCTCGGCGTACTGACAGCAACCTGCTGTTAACGGCATATATATATCGTCACGGCACTGTTGGTATGCTGTAAAACTTTTGTAATTTATGCGAAGATTGAAAGAGAGATTCACTCATGTTTAACTCTGAACTATATACTTTTCCTATCTGCAATTTTCCGGGCCAACTTTCATAAAGTTGACGTTATCAAGAAGGTATATTTTTACTTAATTACATGTTTCCTTGTTTCTTCATAATCTCTCAGTTTTGAGATTAAGTTTTTACTATACAAAATTTTTAATTAAGATTGACAAAAGATTTACTTGTAAGATAAATAATAAGTTCTTGTCATTTTTTTATTTTCAATCATTCATAATTCAAGAAATTTTTTATCTTGCGGCTAATTGTATTTTTCCCCAGCTAAGAGGAGATGCGTGATATTGAAAATTCTCTATTGATGTTCCTCAAACGTCTCCTCATCCTTATTACATTCGGATTGCGAAATCGCCATCAGGAGAGAGAAACGTGATGGTATTAATAGCATTAATGATATTCAACGATGGAGGCGTGGTGGAATTACTAAAGCTGATCATCCTCATCAGCAACGTATCAATCGCGCGTCGATGTCCCTCGCGGTGATAACCAGTTTTATTCAAAGGAAAAGGAGGAGCAAGAGTCTCGAGGAGATACGCGATGATGTTAAAGACAGAGCGTAATAGTTATCACACGCGGTGCGCAGGTGTATACATATACGTATACGTAAGTGTGCGCACATCTATAGTCACCAATCTCTGTAAAGGGCAATGTCCTATCGTGGCCGCGGTGAGTTCGTTTCCCCGATCTGCCCGTCTCGCGGCTTATTACCGTAACCTTGCCCTTGCTCTTTTCTCTCGCTCACGCTTCCGCCTTGGGAACCGAATCAACGCTGTCGCAAGATCGCCGCCGGTCTTTGGGGAACGACCTTCGATTTCTGGAAATTCCCTGGAGGGTCGACGTACCGCGCGCTTTATGTGACTTTCCGTCCTCGATTGGAGAATGCAAGATCAGAATTTTGACTTCTAAGAATTTAGTTTCCTGACGGTAAGAATCTTATTCCCGATAGGCGCTATTTATATACTGCGGCGAAAGAAAGAAAGAATAAGAAAAGTAGAAAGTATTAAACAAACGAAAAAATGGTGACCAATGATGATCTTTATGTACTTCTGATCTCAAAGAGTTTATTGATTTAGAAAAGAAAATGAAAATTGAATTAGAATTAAAGAAGATTAGATTTATTATTGCAATTTTTTTCATGATTTTCCCTTTATATTTAAATACATATTCACATTGTTATTGTCGTTTAAGTATTTTATTGATCAAGTAGCTTAATAGATACATGCAGTAAATCTTCGTATACTTTTATACATGTATATTTTATATAAAACGATAATTATCTCGCATTCAGCGCATTTTACGTGCTAAATTAAATAATTCATTGCTCTTCTCATTTTATGTGGGATGATTTTTGCACTAATAAGCAAAAAAAAATACTTTCAGCAGATGTAATAAATCTGATATAAAATTCATGCTAAATAAAAAATAAAATATCGTATGAGAATTAATCGCATGATAATAACTAATATATTTTAATGTTTAAGATCTACAGCCATGGGAACTTAAAGCTAAAGAGAAGGGGCTGATTCGTCGAACTGGCAAACGCCGGACGCGTCGCGATGTCTTCCTGGACCGCAGTTCTCAACACCGTCGCCCAGCAGTCTGAGTTCCTGCTGCTTCTCCTCAAATAGCGGAGACACATCGTTTTTCTCAGCGTTCGAAGAATACAGTGCGACGTCCTTTTCCCCAGGTAGCTGCTTCTTTAACGATGGTCTTCCAGGTTCATCGTCGGGATTCCAAACCACGTTCCCAACCACGCTCCGAGCTCGGCCACTGTCTCTTGTCTTAGGTCTGGACGTCTTCCTTACGTTCGCGAAGTATCCCGGAAGAGCTGGCACCTCACGGCTCTTCGGAAAGTCGAAATTCTTCACATTTCTCGCGATTCTGTCAATTTTTTCGATTTGCCCATCATCGACTGGTGCCAGTTGTTGATCCAAGACATTCAACGTTTTCGTATCTCCTTCTACTTTTTGGACCAAATTTTCTTTATCTAGATAATTCTCATTTATCTGAATTTCCGTAGAATAGGGCTTCTCTTGGCGAATTTCCTCATTGGATTTGATCGCTCCTTTCGATCGAGCATTTACCGCTGCCTGGATAGCATGCCATGCTAGCTCGCTTATGTCGTTAGTATTACCGCTACTACCAGGGAAGAGCATAACGAAGAGGAGGTTCTTTATCGTACCGTGCCCGTTGATCTCGCCATCCTGCCGTTGATCGTATTTCGCCGGAATAGCGCTAACCTTGGCGAACGCGAAAAACGCCGCACCGAGGAAAAATAGCATCTGGACTATCGCCATCCTCGTGATGTATACACGTCAATCACACACGCTACGTCGTAATGCGTGTAGGTGAGCGAAATGAAAGATGCAACGAAGTTCGACCTCACAATGCAATGCTCTTCAAGCAACGCGAAACGAGCGAGGTCCTTTCCTCAACTGCGACGACCGCGCGAGTAGCGGACCCACCACACTCGGCAAGACCGTTGTACGAACCGGTACGTGGAATCTGTATGATAGGGGGATCCATCTCGCCATAGGATTACTTATAGGATACATCGCCACGTTGGTTGGCGTGGGAACGATACCGATCGCCTGTACACCGATATTGTTATGGACCATCGCGGATTTCAACGACGCAGCTAATTATGAGTTAAAAACAAACGTTCAAGCAGAAACCTCAAACTGATGATAAGAAGAATCAAGAGTCAAAATGAAAAATGAAGGAAAAAATACAAGCTTGTACGAGATAAGAGAGATCTTTTTAGCTGAATTTCTTTTCTTTCTACGTTAGAGAACAAAAAAGAGAAAATGAATCGTGTAAGAAGTTCAGCTAAAAAAAATACGTCTAAGAATATACGTGCGCTTGCATTTTTTCCTGTGAGTATACTTTTAATCATGTATTACTTCTTTTAGGAAAATTCTTTTGTCCGGAACTGTGAAACAAAATAAGGAAGCGTATCAAGTACTCGGAGATAATTATCGCATTACAAAAGTGCAAAACGTGGGATTGTTTCATCATGTGAAGGCAAACATAAATTCGATGCATATATGGCACACCTTCAAAGGACACTTGTTTCTAAATTTACTCCTCTAGCTTTTGCCATCTGAATCCGGTTGATCGAGGGAATACCGATCAATCAGAATAGGGCATCCGGTTGCACTCACGCGGTTGTACTCACGGCAACAAGCGATTCAACCACGATCGACAGCGACCATTGCCGTTTGGAACATATCCAAATTTGCAGCGCTTTTGCGACCGCACGGCGTGCGCGGATTTCACCGTTGTCGAAGGAGTTGTTCCAGTTTCCTTTTCGCCCGGTTGACTCTTATTGTCATCGTTATTCGCATTTGGCGTCGAGCTCGTGATACCAATCAACGGATCACCGTTTAGGATCTCTTCGTCTTTGGATGATGTCTTGTCGTTCTCGGTACCATTCGATGGATTAGCATTCGAGGCTTCTTCGGATAGCGTTATGTCGCTTGTATTATTGACAGACGTCGAGACGGTTGAATTTTGTGACGGCAGCGACTCGAAAACTTGTGTGACGTCATTTTTCTCCGTCGTGGAACTCACGATAGGCTTGTTTCCCAGTGGCTTGATGGTAAAGTCGGCGTAATCATATAAGTAATCGTAATCCTGCGAAAGCAAGGATAATGTCGACGGTGATTTTTCAGTGGTACTCAAAGCAATCTATTTATTACTAAATGAAATATGTAATTTGTAAAATGCATTCTGAGTACAAAATGTCTAAAATAACTTTATAAATTACAGGCTCGCTTCAATCTTGCATCAAACTCATCGTATATATATATATATATGTAGAACTAACGCAATTACAAACTGAAGAAAAGCTTCGACTATTTCATTAACGGTAAGTTGAAGCGCAACAAAATAAAAAAATATATCATAAAGTAAAATTTAATTTTTATTCTTTCTCGAATAAAGAAAGAAATATAAAATAATTTGAGAAAAAGAGAAACAGGAAAAAACTATGAGAACAATAAAAAAATATGTCCCAATAAACCCAGTTAGATAAAGAGAGAAAAAGACTAAAAAAGAGGAAAGGATTTACCGTATAATCGTCCAGGAGCTCGGAGTTGACCAGCGCAATCACCTGTAGGTCCTTCAGATCAATCTGCACGTTCACATCGCCGGTCTGTCGCTGATCGTAAATCGCCTTGGTCAGCGCGGGAGGAATCGCGACGGTGACGAGACAGGCCGCAATAACGAGGAAGCCGTGTAGGACGAACATGTTCGTCTGTGATCGATCCTGACGTGAAGAGAACTGAAAAATGGATGGTAGCGAACGCCCTGGGGGCCCCGACCTGATGCGCCTCACCGCCTCCGGCAGGAACCCGTTGACGAGACAGCCGGTTCGCTCTCGGGACACGATTCAGTCCCGCGTTCGCACGTACATACAAAACCGGTATACACACCGCCCGGTGGACACCTCATCTCGTATTTCTGCGTCTCTCTGTCACCTCCCGGCGTTCGTACAGCGAGTACGATGCCCGGCCATTGCCCTCTCGCCGTTACGCGGTCTACCTTGACAGCCGGCCTTCGGAACGCGTATAACATCGCGTGTGTACACGCAATCGGATCGTCGCTTACATATATTTTAGTATACGCTTTTGTACCTCGGTCATCAGAAGTGTTTGCACGTGCCCGTAACGATCTCAGAGAATCCGGACAGGCGGGACGTCCACTTGGCACCTGTTCGAGAGATTCACTCATTCGAGAGAGAGAGAGAGAGAGAGAGAGAGAGAGAGAGAGAGAGAGAGAATGCTTCCTAGCATATATAAATAGAATAAAAAAGTCTGCAAAAGGGAACAAGTGCTCTTGAAAGAATTGCAACGTATGAAACTTTACGATGTATCGTTTTGTAATTCGTTGCTTCTCTCAAGGAAAATATGTCTTTCAAATATTCAAGCAGAACATTAAGTCATCCTGACATCAAAACGATTCTAAATTAATTATTGGAAAATTATAAAAAAATTACTTTACAATTAATAGCTATTCATTTTAATGTCATTTTGACGTTATCATGACTTATCTGCTCGGATATAATCTTGTTATGAGATGTAGACTGTGATTCGATGAAAGAATATCCGAGAAACAATACAGAAAATCTCCGGATTTTAATTTTAATTAGACCTGTCTTCTGAGTTTATTTAAAATTCTAATACCCATTTTCACCAATGTTCTAATTTTTAAAAATAGAGAGAAATTGAAGTGAGATTAGAATTAATATACATTGATAGAAATAGGCATAATGGTTGAAACTGAAAGTTTGAATTTCATGAATATTTATATTATAAAAAATAGAGTATATATAAATTAGCAAAACAGAGAGTCCACAATAATTAATTATTTTATTTTTTCGAAAACATCATATAAATGTTAACATATAAATGTTACAAATAAAATTATCAAATACAAATAGAAATATTCCAAGAAATAGAATTACAGTTTAAGAATTATTCTTTAATAACGCAACGCAATCTGTTTATCTCCTTTTTACAAACAGTCGTATTTTAATATGCGTGATAAATTTCACAAGAAAAAAAACGCATCAAGTACATGAAATAATTAAAAGAAATATATGAGATTTTAACAATTTAATATAAAATTCCGGCAATCTTCCGAAACATTCGAAAAACGCGCGCATATAAGTGCCAGTAGTTTCTCTCTCTACACGTGCACTTTCTACACTTTCTCTTCATCCCTCGACTATATTCGTTGGAGCGCGAAAGTGCACATCAAATACGTCTAATTTTATTCTTCATAGTTAAATTTTTCATACAATTCATTCCTCCTTTTTCTTCTTTCAATCTCCAATTATTTATCCATTTCATTCGAAGTGCAGGGAAGTATGACATGGTACGGATACAAAGAACAGGTCTCGCGAGGGTTGAAGAAGGAAGTGTAAGCGGCCCGCGGATTCTCGCATTGCTACACCTGCTTACACCTTGTGCGAGTGTGTGTTGTAATCGGCGAGGATGCAAACAACAGTAATCTGTCATCTTGCACACCTAATAATGACGCCGAGGCGAAATGTCGCGCGTCGTCGCGTGCGCGCCTAGCCTCGGGTGCGGAACGTCGTCGCCGTCAGCGAGACCCGCGCAGCACGGAGGCTCGAGACCATCGTCGTCGTCGTCGTCCGAACCGCGATCCCGATCGCGCGGCACAGCCTGAC